TAAATGAACACTAGAATAACATAAGAAAACATCAAGTGCACTCAATACGTAGAGAAATAATTTCCTATTTTCTACAAAAGAAATTACTCTAACCATGCTAGATGATTCTGGAAGGAGGTGTCTCTCTCTTCTCTCACTGCATGTACAGTCCTGCCTTACACTATGAAGCACTATCTAATGACCACCTATTGTTGTTGCTGTTTACCATCAATTCACAACTGACCCACAGCTGATCTTCCAGGGTTTTCAGAAATTGTAAATCACATCAGAGGTGATTCTCCATCTCTCTCCCTCAGAGAAGCTCATGGATTCAAACCATGAGTCTTTAGGTTGGCAACACAATTCCTTAACACTAAGCCATACAGTCCAATACACAGAAATTCAATGTTTATATTTTATTATCTAAACAAAGACATTCAACTGTGGACTTCTAGTAAATTACAGATAACACTGGGCTCATTCAGAATTTGTACACAGAGCAAGAAGCAGCCACATAAACACAGTAAGGGTTAAAACCAAGAAAAGTGTGCCTAATATCTCTTCTACCTGTATTCTAGGTAAATAAATAAAAAAGGTGCAGTATATGGAGAACATGGAGGAAGATTCATAAACCACCTGTGACGCATAAATGACACAATCCTGCTTGAAAAAATTATGAAGAAAACAAAAAGAACCTACTGATGAAGCTACAAGACTACAGACTTTGTATGGATAACACTTCAACATAAATAAAACAAGTATCTTCACAACTGGGCTAATAAACAATGATAACCTGAGAGAGACTGAAGTTATCGAGAATTCCGTTATACTAGGATCCACAATCAACACACAGAGAAGCAGAAGTCAGATCAATCTATACACTACATTAGGCAAATTGATCCCAAAGAGCCTCTTTCAAGTGCTAAAGAGCAAGAATGTCTCCCAAGGTATACCTGACCAAAGCCGTATTTTCAATTGCCTCATATGTATGTGGCCAAGTGTTAAAAGATTACACTGCAAACTCAAAGGCAAGCAGTTCAAATCCACCAGCTCCTCCACAGAAGGATTAGCAATTTCCTCCCAGCCAATTTGCTGCATCTGAAAATCCACCGGAGGGTCAGCTTTGAGTTGGTTCCAACTCGAAGGTACATAACAGCATAAGTATGTGCTTTAGTGACCTGGTCTCATAGGAATAAGTGCTGCTAACTTATAGGTCTTGCCTGGGGAGAAAATTCCTGGGGAGAAAGATAAGCAATCTCCTCCTATGTGATTTACAACCTGGGAAACTCAATGGTAGATAAGTAATGAGTCGGTGCTGAGATGCCAGCAATGAGAGTTGAGTTTTCATATCCATGTTACAGTTGGGCAATAAAGAATTCATCCACTTCAACTGTGGGGCTGATAAACTATACTATTCTGAGCTGCCAAAAGAACAAACAAATCTGTTTTCAAAGAGCCAGAACGCTTATCTCACATACATTGGTCATATTATCAGGTGAGTCCAGTCCTGGCAAAGGGCATCATCTTTGGTTAAGGAGCAGCAGAATAGACCACAAGATGGAGTAACACAGTGGCTGCAGCTGATACTCTAAGGATAGTGAAGGATTAGGCAAGATTTTGTTTTGTTGTACACAGGGCCAGTTTGTGTCAGAACTGACTTGACAGAAGCTAACAACAATATTCTGTTACTTTCCATGAGCAGCTGCTACTCAGATGAAGAGGCTCTTACTTTAGAACAATGGTTCACAATCATATCAGACTCATGGTTCCCTTCACACAAAAATTTTCCAACGTATTGCTCTGAAATGGAACAGTAATCTTTCTATAGACAATTTCATACAAACCCATATATCAAAATAAAACAGAGATGCAAAAAGGGAAATAAGAATAATTTATAAGTGTCCCAAGGTGACTGTCAGGACAAAACAAAATTAGAACATCTGCAACAAGACTGTAGGTGATACAGCTTTCCATAGCTGTAAACAATGTTTAGTCAAACTGTGAACAAAACAAATCTTTTTCCATTTAGCCAACACTGCATTCTGAATAGGTAACTGGAACATTTAGTCTCTGTTAAAATGAAAGTTCTAGGCTAAGGTAACAAGAAATACGGCATGAATGTCAGGAAGGATATTCCTACAGCAAACAGAAATTCTTTGTTCAGATTGTCATAATGAATCCCTCTCTCTTGAGATAAAGAGGAACTTGGCCTTATCTGTAAAAGACTTGACCATATTATCCTTTGTTTTTGCTTTGCACTTCCTTGCGATTTTACTTTGTTTACCTTTCTTATGATTCTAAATAAATACTCAGAGAAGCACGCCTTGAGGCCTTCAGTCATGGGAACTGTTGGCCCACTGTTTTTCACACTCTCTGTTCTATATCATTCCTGGTAGTCTGTCTCATTATTAATAATTATAAAATTATTTCATTCTTTGGGACCCTCAGTCTGCAACACCTCAAATTCCCACCAGAGGGTGATCCCCATCTGGACTCACTTCTGTAGACATAATCTGCTTAGCTATCACATTTTAAAGTCAAAAACATTTAAGAAGTACCTGTTAACTATGAACTATGTACTATGAACTACGTACTATGATTACTGACTGGTTAGTTAATATCTGAACATACATCCCAGTTTCCAGTTTATCAAAAAGAAATGAACATCATTGGGGCTTTACGTCACTAAGATGACTCATTAGGATGTGTATGTAACACAGGGGAGGTTACGTTTCCAAGTAGGAGGCCTCTTGAGGTATGAAGAGGGGAGCTGTTCCAGGTAAGCAGAGTGATATCACCAAAAAGATGATTACTGTAGTGAAACTGAGGCTGTAAAGATATTTAATAAGCACATGAAAGAAACTGAGCACACAGCAGTCAAGAGACAGACCCAGAACAGCAAGAAGTAATATACAGTTGAGAATTAGTGTTAAAATGTAGTGTAATGATTAATATTCAGATTGACTCTCCAAATTTAACAAGAAAGCACACTTCTTAACTTTTTTCCTAAAAACTTTCCAGCATATATGCCTAAAATATTTAAATGTTAGTATATTCAAAAAAGTGACAAAACTTAAGCAAACTTTATTAAAACTTTGGAGACATTACATTATCCATCACAGGCTAGATACTGGAGAAATACAAGGATATCTAGTATATTATTTCCATTCTCAAACATCCAGCAGACTACACCAGGGCAAAATATAATCAAACTATAGAGCTGAGTGACACAGGCATTAATAAAAAAAATAAGTTTTGAAGGCCTTGTGAGAATCAGTAACTTTGACCTCATGACATAGGATGCTGGGAAACTGAGATTTTTTATAGGAATAATAGATAGCAAAACATTTAAAAAAAAATTACATCTAAGGAAAGGTACTGAAGCAGAAAACCCCCAGGCTGGTTCAGAGAAGCAGGGGCCAGATGCATGAGGAGTTGGGGATGCAGTCAATAAAAATCAAGGCTATGAAGGTATTTCAGGGTCTGATCATGGAAGTATATAAATACTATTCAAAAGTGTGCGTTGGTTGGTTGAGTGCTTTGGGGTTTTTTAGAAGGAGAGTTTTGCAGAAATCTGGTGTTTATGTGATACATCTGATCCCCAAATAATACTGAATAATGGCCAAAAGTAAGATTCCAAACAAATGAATATTATTAATGCATTTCCTGAAATGAATGTATTTTTCAAAATAAGCCAAAATATACTAATCCAAGAGCCGAAAAGTAGACGCTTCTGAGTTCATGTCATAAAGAAATAAGACAATAATAATTTCATCTATCTGTGAAACGAAAAATCACAGGATAATCTATGTAGGTAGGCCCTTTGACTGGCTTCCAAGCAAGTCAGGGCACTTCCTAAACGTGTTAATTGGCAGAACTTCATGCCACTCCTGGGAGGCAAGAGAGCAAGTTACCGTATTATTAGCCTCTTTCTGACTGTGGAAACTAGGGGACAAAAAGAAGGACATTATGATCCAAAATAAGCTCTCATATTTTCCAGAACTTTAATTAAATAAGCTGCAAGCCTGTACTTCATCCTTGATTTCGTACAACCATTCCATGATCAGAATTACCTCTTTTTATTACCATCTTCGCTGAAAAAACTCCCTTTCTCAACTTGATACTGTCATCAAAAATTTAAGAGTGTCTGTCTCTGTCTGTCTGTCTCTCTCTCTCTC